GGCGGGAGTGGGCGCGCGCGCGGGGGGGAGAGAGAGAGAGAGAGAGAGAGAGAGAGAGAGAGAGAGAGAGAGAGAGAAACTGATCAGCTCCCTGTCTCCTTGCTGTGTGACCCTCTGCTTCTGTGCTAGGCTGAGCATACGGATACATTCACTGTATTCCTTTGCAGATGGGGGAAACGCAGGTCCTAGGGTGAGGCACAGGAAGCACTGGAGAGGGGTTTAAATAAAATTAGTCCCTCCTTATTTGTGGTTTCATTTTGCATGGTTTCAGATGCCACGGGCTCACCGTGCTACAGAAATATTAAATGGAAAGTTCCACATCAAACAATTAGTGTTTTAAATAACTTGTACGGCCGGGTAGTGATGTGATTGCCCTATTTTGTTAATCTCTCCCTGTGCCTAATTTATAAGTTAAACTTCATCGTGGGTCTGTATGCGTAGGAAAAACATAGTATACACAGGACTTGTTACTCTCTGTGTTTCTGGGGGTCTTGGGATGTGTCCCCCATAAATAACAGGGACTAGTATTTTGTTGTTGTTTTTTTGAGACAGGGTCTCACTATGTAGTTGAGACTGACCTGGAACTCACTATGTAGCCCAGGCTGGTCTCGAACTCACAGCGATCCTCCTGCCTCAGCCTCCCGAGTGCTGGGATTACAGGTGTGCACCACCACATATGGCTAACAGGGACTCGTTTTTATAGCCACCAGCCTGTGTGTGCCAGGCAACTCCTAAAATTTAAAAGTATATTACAGTAAAAGACACATTGTCATTAACCCTTTTCAAGCCCCCCCCCACTTTAAGCGCACACACCCCATTGTTCAGGCCACTTTCTGAAGCAGTTTTGGAGTCTTCTGTCATGATTATCTTTACAAGATGGGATTAAAAGCACAGTGAATCCTGCTGCGGAGACCAATCCCATGGAAAGGCTCAGAAAAACACGACGGCGTCCTCGTCCACCTTTTATACACTGGACCTGGCACCATGGGACTCTGGCTCTTCCCCAAAGTCAAAGTGAGCATGAAAGAAAGGTGAACATTGTGAATGGATTCCGGACATGGAGGCAGCCCTAACAGCACAACTAAAGAAAAGACGCTCTCTCGAAAGAGGACTCTGGAGCTCTTTTAGAAAGGGACAAGAACAATGCGAAAGGTGTGTTTGCAACCAGCAGGAAGGTTTTGAGAGGTGTGGCCGTTTGTCTTTGACTGTAATACATTTAAAAAACATTTTTAACGTCCACCATACTTTTAGACCACATTGCTTTTTGGGGCGGGGTGGGGGGACTTGAACTCCGGACCTTGCGCGGCGGGCTGTGGAACCGCTGAGCTAAATCCCCAGCCTTACAATGCGGACTGAGTGAGGGACTGAATGCTCTGCCCACCAGGCATTACCGGGTCCCCAGGACCCCTGCCCCGGCCCCTGCGGTGGGGGGCGCTCTCACCTGTAAGGTGCGCTGCCGGGTTGGTCTGGCGGGATCTCCGCTCTGGGGAGAGAGGGTCAGAGGTCAGAGACAAAGACAATAAAGGGAAAGGGTCAGCCCCCCCAAGGGGTCACGTCTGGACCTCCAGCGTCTGCCACACCCCTTCCGGAGAGACCCAAACTTCCGCTTCTGAGGCAGGAGGCGTGGGGAGGGGCGCCCGTGGGCTTGGACGTTGCTCCACCGCCACGGAATTGAGCAACGGGCCGAGGGGGCGGGGGGAGCGTGGGAACCGCGCCGCTCCTCCTTGGGGGCCCGGACTGCCTCACCTTGCATAGACTTCTCCCAGGATCCTGCGCCTTGGTCCTACAATGCAGAAGGAGCCCACGGTGAGGACCTTACACCCCGCCCTCCGGCGCACGCGCTGAGCCCCAAGCGCGGGGCGCACACGGGCTCTCGGCAGCCTCCACACCATTCCGCGTCTCTGTGGAAGCGGAGTGAGTACTGCCTGCCTTGGATTTAACGAATTACCATGTGTAAAGCCTGTTACAGCCCGTGGGAAATGCTTATTGAGTAATAAAAGGGCTGGGGATTTAGCTCAGTCGCCGCCCTCCGGCGCACGCGCTGAGCCCCAAGCGCGGGGCGCACACGGGCTCTCGGCAGCCTCCACACCATTCCGCGTCTCTGTGGAAGCGGAGTGAGTACTGCCTGCCTTGGATTTAACGAATTACCATGTGTAAAGCCTGTTACAGCCCGTGGGAAATGCTTATTGAGTAATAAAAGGGCTGGGGATTTAGCTCAGTCGCAAGGACCCGAGTTCGATCCCCACTACCACACACACACACACACACACACACACACACACACACACACACACAAAGTAATAAAGGTTGATTGAAGACTTTTATCCAAAATGCTTGGGACCAGAAATATTTCAGATTTGTCCTGGGGATTGGGAAACATCTGTATAGATTTTACCACTTTACCGCTTGAGCACCCCTCATCTGAAAAATCCCAAATCCAAAATGGTCCTAAAATGACACTTTTGTGTTTTTTTTGGCAGTACTGGAGATTGAACCCAGGGCATTCACACTGAGCTATATCTCCAGCCCTTTTAAAATGTTTACATTCCGAGACAAGGTCTTGCTAAGACATTCAGTGGCTCCAACTGGGCTGGAACTTGCAATCCTCCTGCCTCAGCCTCCCAGAGGGCTGAGGTGACAGGTGTGTACCACTGCACCCAGCTCAAAGTCTAAAATTTTTGAGTGTCATGTCCGTGCTCAAAAAGTTTCAGATTGATTTACCACATTTAAGTGTCCAGATTTAGGATTTGGGTTTTGGAAATACACAGGCACCCAGATGGCTGGACACACAGATGCCAGTTTGGATGTGTGACTTGGGCTCAGACCCGACCCTAGTGACACACGGAAAGCACACTTGTGGATGGATGCAGGCGCCCAGGCACATGGGTGCGGAGACCCAGAGACAGAGATACACACGTCAGCACTCGGGCTGTGACAGGTGAGTATGTGGGCACGTGGGACCCATGCTCTGGACACGTGGGAACTGGGACTGGGCACAAGGAGACACGGTGACCAGGACAGCAAAAGGCCAGGCCACTTGTGCACATCATGGGACATACACAGGCTCAGCCGTGGCATGTGACAGTGCACCAGGAAGGCCGTTCACATAGCAAGAATCACAGTGCCGGGCCCAGGAGGGCACAGTTAATAACGACAGCAACATCTGGACCTTGCCTTGAATGGTTAAGCACTTGCCTCGAGTCAGCCACTGCCCAGCACCCTGCGCACCCCAATCACACTTCACTCTGTAGGAAGAGGCCACTCCTTCTCCCTCTCTCTCTCTCTCTCTCTCTCTCCTCTCTCTCTGCAGTAGTAACAGATTAAACCCAGGGCCTTCCCCTGAGCTCCATTCCCAATCCCTTTTATTTTTGAGATGGGATCTCCCTAAGCCACTAAGTTGCCCGGGCTGGGGTGGAACTTGGGATCGCCCTGCCTCAGCCTCCCAGAGTGCTGGGATGACCCCTGTAACAGGATGGTAGCCACTGTTATCGTCAACCCCATTTTATAGATGAGGAGACTGAGGTCCAGACAGGCTGGACTGGCCGCAGCAGCTCAGGCGTCAGGCTGGAGGTCCTCTGTCTGTCCTTCAAACACACGGACACATGGACACACGGGGACATAATGCCACGGCAGACCCCCAGGGCCAGCCCTAGGCCCTACTCACCGGCAGGCGGGCGACTACGTCCTCTAGACGCCAGTACAGCTGCAGCAGGAAACAGGCCTGCGCAGCCAGCGCAGCCCCCAGGAGCAGCAGCAGGACCCCCAGACCCACCCGGGCAAGGTTGCAGCAGTGTCTCCCGCGCCTCGGCCCCAGCCTCCTGAATGGGATGTCCGTCTGTCCGTCCACCACGAACACCGAGGGCTGCACCACCGTCTCCTCCATGCCCCACAGACGAGGCCCCAGGCGCCTGAGCTCTAGGGCTCAGAGGAAACCACAATTGCCCAACTCTCTGGGCTCTGCAGGCTGCAGAAGGCGCCCGTGTGCCCCACAGCCGCTTTTAGAGCTGGGGTTCAGCCCCTCCCCTTTCCCCATGCAGCCTGCTCTCCTTCCTGTCGCCCCACCAGGGCCCCTCAGTGTGTCACTCTCACTCATAAACCTCTCACACTTTCCAGAGCCACCTGAGAATGTGACTCGGGTGGGGACGGGAGAGGGGCGGCCGCAGCTGCTGGGTTCCCTCAGCCCAAAGGTTTCCCATTGCTGCTCTGGGGACACAGCGGGGAACGGGACAGACGCAAGCGGGCTGCAGCTCGGTCCTGCCCAGGGGACGGGGACGTGGACTGGATGAAGAAGAAAAGAGTAGGCACTGTTTCTATGGGGATGGGGCGGTGGGGCATTCGAGAGGAAGAGAGGCGTTGTGGGTGAGCACCTGTGTCTGTGTGGGCGCACCGTGGGAGTGTGAGCGTGAGCATGCACACACGTGTGTCCGTGTGCACTCCGGTGTGCATACATGGTAGGCGCGCGTGTGTGCTCATAAGCAGGTGCACAGCACAGGGTCGTGCAGATGTGGTGAGTGTGTTTGTGTGTGCTTACGTGTGCACGCAGGTGCGTGCGCTTGTGTCGTGTTCAGGTGTGTAGGATCATGTACAAGTGCACACGTGTGTGGGTCCTTGCACGTATCCTTCAGTTTTTCCAAAATTTATTTTGGTACTGCGGATTGACTCCAGGGCCTTCGCGCTGCGCCGCACTCCCAGCCTTTCTTTTGATTTTGAATTTGGAAACAAGGTCTACCTAAACCATCGGGCTCAAAGCGAGACACTCCTGTCTCAGCCTCTTCAGAGCTGGGGTTGCGGGTGGCCCTGTGCCTCGCCTGGTTCCCAGGTCCCTGTGAGATGAGGAACTTTGTTCTGCCACACTTCTGCCCTGATGTTCAACCTCATCACAGACCCAAGAGCCACCTGGCCAAGAGCCGTAAACCTCTGAAACCGTGAGCCCACATAAATCTTTTCTCCTCTTTATTTTTATGTGTGTGTGTGTGTGTGTATGTGTTACTGAGGACGGAACCCAAGACCTTTGCACTGAGCTACATCCTCCGTCCTTTTTATTTTTTCTTTTGAGACAGGTTCATGCTAAGTTGTTAAGTTGTCCAGACGGGGGTCAAACGTACAACCCTCCTGCCTCAGCCTCCCAGAGTGCTGTGATGACAGGCGTGTGCTATTTAAACCCCCAAGGCAGCCAGGGTCACCCTGTGGCTTCAAATCTCCTATTAACTTCCCACTGAGAGGACGGCGGCCAGCAGATCACAGCTGTGGGCCAAATCCAGCTGCCCCTCTTTCTGTATAGTCGCGGAAACGCTCAGGGGCCGCCACTTACTGAGGTTAGGACCCCTGTCCCCATGCCATCCCTGGTGCCCAGGCCTCACTGCTGCCCAGGGCCTGTGCAGGGCACAGAGAAACACTTGCTGGGGTTGGGTGACCCTGGAGTAAAGGAGGAAGCTGACACTGGGTCCCTTCAGCCCCTCCAACCTGCCTGGCCCCCTTGGGTGAGTCAGTCCCAATCCAGCTGCCGGACACGGTGCCTCTGTCACCTACATGCCCTCCGTGTCCTCCCTGGCTCCATGAGGACCGTCCTCAGAGCCCTCAAAGGTGGCCTGGGATAGCAATGGACATCCAGGGGGCTGCAGCTCGGTCTGCACGGGTCTTAGTCCTACAACCCTGTGTCAGTCTTGTCCAGCATCTCAAAGCCAGGAGCAGTCTCCCAAGGTGGCTCTTTCAGGGCACCTATGAGAGAGAGAGAGAGAGAGAGAGAGAGAGAGAGAGAGAGAGAGGAGAGAGAGATGCAGGCTGCTCTGCACATGGGGGACCTGATCCAGACACCTGGGGGAGCTTTCTGAAGCCACCCCCTCCCCGCTTTTCCTAAACACCCTATGTGAAATCAATTCCATCTGCCTTTAAACATACGCATTCATGTCTGCGGCCATACCACCCTGAACACGCCCAATCTCATCTAAAAATACGGATTCATTCATTTAGTTTCGAATCGCTGGGGGTTAAGCACAGAGGCTTCACATGCTGGGCATGTGTGGTACCACTGAGCTGCATCCCCAGCCCTTTGGATTTGGATTTTGAGACAGGCTTTTGCTAAGTTGCCCGGTCTGACTTGAACTTGTGATCCTCCTGCCTCAGCCTCCTGGGTAGTGGGATTAGAGAGAGGGAGGCACCATCTCACCCAGCTTCCACGCTGTTGTAAGCGTTGTTTTCTGTTCCCCTATTACAATTTCAGGTTAAGCTCCTGTCTATGATGGCCGTAACACAGAGCTACAGATGGATGAACTCACAACCCAAAACCCCCAGAGGCCCCTGCCTGTGAAAGAATTGATGTAATGAATCCCAAATCAGAGAAGAGAGGACATGAAGGTGGTGTGGGGGGGATCTGGCGGTGGGGGAATACCCCAGGAGGAATGGAGAGTGAAGTATTTGGGGGCTTCCCTGGACAGGAGCCGGTGGCATTTGGGGGCTGCAGAAACTAGGGGTGGGTGAGGACTTACTGTTCCCTACGCTCCGGAGCCGGAAGGTGGGGCTTTCCAGGGCCTGGGGGTCTTAGGGGAAGGCATTGTGCCCCCTGACTTTCCCGCAAGGGGGGTGGGGCTTCCCCATGACCTCATTCCCAGCCAGAAGCCTGGGTCCCCTTCCAGACCCTGCATGCTCCCAGACTCCTAGGGACCATAAGGTGCCTTTAGAAGATGCACTCTCCAGCCACGTGTGGGGATTCACACCTGTCAGGTCGGCACTCTGGGAGGCTGAATCCAGATCACAAGTTCCAAGCCGATCTGGGCAAATTAGTAAGACCCTGTCTCAAAAAGCCAAGCAACCAACCAACCGACCGACCTCCCTCCTGCAGGACGACCCCTCCCTGCCAGCAGCACTGGTTGCCGCGGGGGCTCCCGGCTCCTCCTACGCAGGCTGCTGGTGGTGCCACCGCAGACACCCTCGCCCTCCCCGCTGCTGACTCATCTTCCCCTCCAGGCATCAGCGGAAGTAGGTCTGCCGCCCCCTGCGCCCCCTGCGCCCCCCGCATCCGTGGTCGCCCGCGTGATGATGCCAGGTGAACCGGGAGCGGCGCAGGGGGAAGGCAGGGCGGGGAGGAAACCCAGCGAAAGGGCGCTGCAGAGGAAGGGCAGGCACACCAGGACCCGCGGGGAGTCGGAGGGCTTAGGGGAGGAGGCAGAGCAGGACTTAGGGTCCTGCTGGGGCCACGGGTAGGCGTGCAGGTCAGAAGACGGGTAAGAAGCCGCGCCAGCTCTCTGAGAAGTCGAGGCAGGAGGATCGCAAGTTTCGGCTCAGCCTGGGCAACTTAGCGACTTAAAAAATAAAAAGGGCTGGGCATGCAGCCCATTGTGAAGGACCTAGGTTCAATCCACGGGAGAATTACAGAAGTTACAGGCCAGCTGATAGGGGAAGAGAGATGCGGTAGGCCAGGTGACGACCCAGACACAGCGGAGGGCGCAGACAGATCACGTTAAGACCAGGCTGTCATTTAAGAAACAGGTGAGAGAGAGGGAGAGAGAGAAAAAGAAACAGAGGAAGGCTGTGACTCGGTGGCGCCGCACCTGCCTCGCAAGCACGAGGTCCCCGGTTTGATCCCCGGGAGAGACAAAAAAAGATAAACAGGTGAGCCGGCTGTGAGAAGAGGGTGAAGGGGCAGCAAGCAGCGGATGGACAGGGTGAAGACGGAGGGCAGGGAGACGCAGGGTGGCTGGAGCTGGGGCCGTGTCACAGTGCCTCTTTTCTTCTCCAAGAACTTCAGCCTTCGGAACCGGAGGACACAGGGCTAAAGCTTTATTGGGGGAGGGGAGGGGCGTGGTCAGTTGGGGCAGCCGAAGACCACCATGCTCTCGGTGAAGGCGCCCAGGTCCTGGCACTGCTTCTGGTTCTCCTCGTCCTGGCATTCTTCCGCCTCGGGCCACGGCTCCACCCAGGTGTCCTTCCCGATGATGTAGCTGATGCTGTGGGCGGGGCGACAGGTCAGGAAGGAGGGGCAGAGTGGTGCGGGGATTTCAGGGGCTGGG